GGTCGTCCATTCACTTGATCGCCGGCCTAGTTTTAACGTCGATCAGAAAAGTAAACATTGTAAGGTGATGGCTCTCGCAAGATCGTCGCACTCCACTCTAATAGGATCGGACAGAGATGTTCGGACTCTAACCGCCAATTGTCGTCCGCGGAGAGTTACCAATTCATCGCAGACACTGTAGAACCATACTTTGTGCAGGAGGATTAGATGATCCAAGCGGTTGAAGCCTTTCGAATAGTACATGTAAATACCATCGCTTCCTGTCCATCTCGTCAATTGTTTCGGTCCAATTGTCATGTGCTATCAGCAGATTCGTAGTACACGATCGAAATCCGTGCTTCACCGGCGCTATGAGGCCGGAGCTTCCCAGGTTGCCCATCAGTACGCCAGCGATGAACGCTTCCATGAATTTGGCGAGCACAGGGAGAAGTGTTACGGGACGGTAGTTAGCAGGATCAGACGGACTTCTTCCCTTGTGAATGAGGGCTATAATACCTCGTTTCCACATTGAGGGCAATATGTTTTCTTCTAGACAACACTGAAAGAATCCGGCAAGTGCTTGGGCTAGGTGACTGGCTGCTACCTGCAGTGCTTTAGGGTGAATGTTATCCAGTCCATGAGAGCTCTGTGTACGCAAGAATAGTAGATTTTACAGTATCCCTTTTTCTGTGAATGTCATGCTGGATAACACTGAGGGTGTGGTGACAGAGGTAAGTATAATGTTTGAGGTAAGTACTAGGAAGATGTGGCGTTGGCCGCCTCCTTTGCTCTGTGTGTACACCTTGCAATCGTAGTGAGTGGTGGGATTCCGCGTTGCACCTTTCGAAGTCCATTCACGTGTCTGTAAAGAAGCTTGTGGTTCAAACAGAATTGTTTCGCTACCTCCAATTGGTGTGATAACTTTTCTTCGCGAACCATCTTTACAGAATAACTGCTCTTAGCTACGTACGCTGTTCTATCTAGTGCTCACCAGCGAGATCTTATTTGATGGACGAAGTGTACGCAGTCCTCTGGGTCAAAGCGACCACCTGACTTTACTGTTCTCTTTCATTTGCTACACCGTATACCCTGATGCGGAGCTCGAAAAGATGCCATCTATTACGCATCATCAGGTTTTGGTCCGCATCCGTTGAAAATGTTTGTTAGATATTCATGGCTGAATGCACCCCAGAGATAGCCAGGGAAAATGGTTGAAATCCATGACACTAGTCACCAAAACATCAGAGCCAACCTTTTTCAACAATCCCATCAAACCAATATTCCTCCTATGAAGCCGAACACGAAAATTTGTGACCTTGAGAGATCACACATGGCGTCTTCACAAAAGCAATTCCCATGCGGAAAAGGACACAACGTACGTAGCTAAGAGCAGTTATTCTGTACAGTTGGTTCGCGAAGACAAGTTATCACACCAATTGGAGGTAGCGAAACAATTCTGTTTGAACCACAAGCTTCTTTACAGACACGTGAATGGACTTCGAAAGGTGCAACGCGGAATCCCACCACTCACTACGATTGCAAGGTGTACACACAGAGCAAAGGAGGCGGCCAACGCCACATCTTCCTAGTACTTACCTCAAACATTATACTTACCTCTGTCACCACACCCTCAATGTTATCCAGCATGACATTCACAGAAAAAGGGATACTGTAAAATCTACTATTCTTGCGTACACAGAGCTCTCATGGACTGGATAACATTCACCCTAAAGCACTGCAGGTAGCAGCCAGTCACCTAGCCCAAGCACTTGCCGGATTCTTTCAGCGTTGTCTAGAAGAAAACATATTGCCCTCAATGTGGAAACGAGGTCTTATAACCCCTATTCACAAGGGAAGAAGTCCGTCTGATCCGGCCAACTACCGTCCCGTAACACTTCTCGCTGTGCTCGCCAAATTCATGGAAGCGTTCATCGCTGGCGTACTGATGGGCAACCTGGGAAGCTCCGGCCTCATAGCGCCGGTGAAGCACGGATTTCGATCGTGTACTACGAATCTGCTGATAGCACATGACAATTGGACCGAAACAATCGACGAGATGGACAGGAAGCGATGGTATTTACATGTACTATTCGAAAGGCTTCAACCGCTTGGATCATCTAATCCTCCTGCACAAAGTATGGTTCTACAGTGTCTGCGATGAATTGGTAACTCTCCGCGGACGACAATTAGCGGTTAGAGTCCGAACATCTCTGTCCGATCCTATTAGAGTGGAGTGCGACGATCTTGCGAGAGCCATCACCTTACAATGTTTACTTTTCTGATCGACGTTAAAACTAGGCCGGCGATCAAGTGAATGGACGACCACAAAACCCTCCAGCGCGACCTAGATTGGGCCTGACAATGGCCGGTGAGGAATGCACTGCCATTAAATGTGGACAAGTGACGTGTTGTCCACATCCGCCATAGACACGACTATCTCTACAAACTATGGGCACACGATTTGCAGACAAGCCCTCAGGAACGTGACCTCGGTGTGCTGATGTAGGAGGACCTCTGTTATTCCAGAGGTAAGCAGCATGTTGGTCGCTTGCGGATGGCATTCGAGAGGTTGGATTCGTCCATGTTCTATCTGATGCTCAATGTCTACGTGCGTCCCCACGTCGAATACGCAATCCAGGCTTGGCATCCTTGGCTAAAGCGTGACCTTGCGGCGCTCAAAACTCCCAAAGGTTGGGCAACAAAAGTTGTCAAAAAGTTGCTCAATCTTCCGCACCAACAGCGAGTGAAGACAGTCGGAGCGCTCAGCGGACGCTACAGGTGGCTACATGGAGACCTCACTCATGTATGGCACCACCTATTGAAACCATGTCATCAGCACAGTCGACTTTTCATTAAGGCGCGGCGGACCTCAGCTCATAAAGACCAGTGATTCCGCTATAAGTAGCCATCGATCGTTTCAGTGGATGAGCTGTGAGGTGCTCAACAACAGTCTAGACGTTAGAAGTTCTATCCGACTGCACGCATTATTGACGCCATTTGCCAGTGGACCAATTTACTCGTTAACACATTTGTGAAAGAGGATAAGTATATTTACAGAAATGGGTTTGAACGATCAATTCAAGTCAAAGTAATGTTTAGGTATCCAGAGAGGCACATTTGCAGCAATTTACGATATGGACGAATGATGAACTAAAATTATATTATCAGAACTAAATTTGTAGGAATGGATATAAGGACATTGTGTGGAAGTGCTACTTGAATAAGAGATCAATGTAAAAGAGGAACAGTTGAACGGTTCCAAACATTTTTTTCAGGTCACCATTGCACGGCGACTTTTCAATCTCGATCGTCCATCTTCACGTGTGTAGTATCTTGAATTTTTCTCAAAGATTTCGCGAAGGGTAACAGCGGTGACCTTTGAAATTGCTTGATGAATATCGCGTTGAATTATTCTGCAAAGACTGATGTATGGCTAGCGATATTGTAAAAGTTATGTCTAGTGACACGGCTGGTTAAAATACCCCGCCTGGTAGTAAGCGGAGAAGCATATTATTAAATAAATAAATAATTTATTCTCGTCATTGCGGGGCACACTATCAAGGGCGTGATCATTGTAATACGGACATGTACGATCGGCAGTTGCACAAATTGTACATTCTCTCAAATAGCATAGGAATTTATGTGTGGTTGACATGTAAATGTATGTTTAAGTGTGTATTTGGAAGTGGCCATGTTGTGTGAGTAGATAAATGTGACTCTGCGTTTTTGTTCGTTGGATTCGCCATCTAAAGGGGAATCAATGGAACGCTTCGAATCGGATGACCTTCGTGATGTGTGAGTGATCCTCCCGAAAAGGCAAGAGGCGGTGACTTTATTTAGTGGCGAGTCACATCCGCCACTAAATAAAGTCACAGCTCCAGTGCGTACGGTTAGCCATAGCCTTCAGCACTCAGTGCGAAGTTGGCTGCCTGCTGATGAGCGCCGGAAACATATTGTGGCTGTCTGTACTCATCTCGCTCGACGACCAACAAACCTTAATGTGGCCTGCTGGCCTGTCCTACATCAGCTTACGCTGGCACTCAGCTGATCCCTGAACTAAACTACTAATCTGCCGAGAATTCCATATGTCCTCATCGCTAAGCGAGCCATGGTGAATCCCTGCATCCGCTTCCCATTCTGGAATTCGGTCATCCACCCTCCCGCTGGACATGCTGTTGAGTTAGAATTTTCAAATTTCCATACCACCGTTTGTGCATATTGTCTTGTAGTTTCGTGAGCCGAGTCACATGGAATTGGCAGTATAGCTCGGGGTTTGCTATTATGAGTACAGAGAACCCTTATATTTTTGAAACAAAGGCTGCACGATATATCAATTCAAACCCGTTTTATATATCCATAGAGCTAAGTCATTACTGTTAGGAAGCTGTAGCATTTTCTTAGTAATGGTATGGATGTGATCATCCGAAAAACTTGCGAAATGCTTCGAAACGGGTACTTCACTGGATCCTCATGCGGTGGGGCTTGAGCAACCTTGGTTTTAAAGAACGAGGAGCTTCCCCAAATCACTGTAGAGGTAGAATCCTCAATATTTCAAACCTCCAAGTGATTATGAATATTATCGAGATGAATCATGGACCGTATCCTCATTGGCTAAGTCAGAACAGCTTGTAGTTCAACTTGTCCTTATGATCCCAAAAAACCCTCATATTTCTTAATCATATACCGCACAATTTGTCAATTTAGCCCATTTTTTATATCCATAGAGTTAAGTGATAACCAGTAATAAGCTGCACTCCATTTGGTTACTTGGCTACCACAGCTTCCACGGTTTCCTACGATCCAGAGATCTCAAGCATTTTTTAGTAAAGGACAGATTTTTCGTCCTCTGGCTCCCTCCTGTGTATATGGGATGCGCTCGCCTGGCATGTTACAAATATTTATGTATAACCATATAAGTTATGCATATGCGGAGTGCTTGTGATTTTGCATGCATTTTTGTGACAGTAACCAACTAGTCCACGTTGAACATGTGACTACCGGCCGATGTTCTGTTTCACAGTTGGCAATCTATGGGATCAATTTGGGTGAAAAACTTATTGCACTTGCAGTTAACGGACGAAGAACTTGCCAACATCCCACACCCCAAGGCGGAGCTGCTTTTGCATGTATGGATGCGTACAATTCAAGCCACATCGTTCCTGGGAGGATTCATTGTTGCGCCTATTGCGACCCTTGTTAAACGTGTTCCGGTTTTCTTTTCAATTCTCACCCACCATATTTATAGAACCAGCATCCCTGAGAAGCTTGCATTCACGATTCATCCGTTATTCTGTGTTTGGATTGTTACCTGGATTTGTTTTGGGGCCCGCCCTCTACTATGGTCGGATGCGAAATCAACCCGAAGTGGCTTATTTTGATCGAGCTTATCGTTTACGAAGAAACAAAGGACAAGTGAGCACTTTTGTTTCGTTTTAGAAATCTTTTCCACCACATGCCATGATGCTGTGTTTGCGTTTCCTTTTGGAACTCTTGCCGGGATCTCCTGATCAAACTTTGGTCTTCCCAACTGATGATCCTTTTTGTATAAATGCTTTAGTTACCTAAGGAATTGTATTTTGCAATTATTTTAACTCTTCTACTCTTGCTTGAAGATCATTATTTTCCTGGGCTAGTGACATTCGGCACTCTCAGCTGGTTGGCAGTGCAGCGAAGGAAGTTGCATCTCTGGGAACCTATCCTTTCTTACGTACTTTGAGTACGCACGTGATGGCAGATGTTGAGTCGCACCGCATCGCAGTTAGTCATTTGTTCACCACAGCTGCCATCATTTCCTATGATCCAAAGCTCTCAAGCATTTCGGAATGGACCGGTTTTCCGTTTTCCGGCTCCCTTTTATGTATATGGGATACGCACACCTGGCGCGTTATGTGGAAGAAATTCTACTGTTGGCTATAGAATTGAAGACTGGTAGCTCAGGTTGTTCATATGTCTTTTGAACTGTTCGCTAAGCTTGACAATTGTGTTGCGAACGTTTCGTCACCAATCGAGGTGACATCATCAGTGCGTAGTTGAGTGGCGTGCAGTAGCATAGAGTAGTGTAGAGGAGCCTACTGTGCAATCCTTTTCTTGCTTTTAGACGGAATGCGTGATGAGTCTCCTTTGAAGTGTTACTAACCCCTTCCTATGCCTCCCTTAAAGATTCCATCATCATCAGCAGAACATTGACCACTTGGACGAATGCTTCGCTACCGTAAAACCACAGTAACTTAAGGAATAAAGAATACTAAATGGGAGATAAGGGGAATCTACTATAAAGCCTAACTGTCCTAAGCATGTATTTAGGTTCAGGATGCGTACACTTTGTCAACAACACATTGTCACAAGCAGCTGAACATCGTGCGAAGACAAGGCGACATCGGCGAGACAGCTTCCTTGTAGGTTTCAATGCCCCGCGTCATTATTAGCCAGTACCCCGCTGGTAAATAAGCATCAACAATCCGATTAGGAAACGGCAGCAGATGGGCCATTGATGTCAACTACGATTAATGCACTGTAACGTCGAGCCTAACACGGGGTGGGTCACGTGGACTCCATCCTGGAAGACGAGAGGGACCAACACCGTGCAATTGAGTCGTCGATGATCTCATTTCTCACACCTCCAGCCTTGCGCTGCCGTACATCCGGCTAACGGTGGCCGGTTATACGTTACTTTCTTATGGGCAGTTACCGATTCGATATAGTAAGAGGTCGCAGACTTGATTTATCTACAGACTTTTCATAAGAACGTTGAAGTTACGCGTAATCGCTAGCATAGAAGATTGCAAGGAGAATGTGATGACCGAACTTGATGGTTGTTCGTCGGTTTATGAACGATTGCGTATTGTTCGTGACATGATTAGAATTCAAAATTTGCGCATCATTTATAAAACGGAATCTGTGTTTTAGTGTGTCTCAAAATTTTACGCCTCCCTTTGATTAGTGACAGATGCCAAACGAACCAACTAAATTTCTGCAGTACACACAATTCGTCGTTTCGTAGGTCACCGGAGAGTCAAGTCTCATGTGTGGTACCTGAATTCATTCCGAACAGAATGGTCGATGGGTATCAGTCCACTGCGGTGAGAGTATGCGTTAGCGTAGAGTAACGACCTGTGTACCTCCTATATAATGATGTCTACTTGCTAGTGTTTTAAACAAGTTTGAAAGCCGTTCCTATCACATTAGCCAGTTATTCTTAGGTCAGGCGAGCTCATTCCATTGGTTCTTTCGACCTGTGGTTGGGAACCGTGTGGCATCTAGGTACTACGCACATCACATTTTAGGAACCTTATGGTTAGGTCTTTTAGCCAGCAGATTTTGTTACCAACCTCAATCGTTATCTTTTTATGGGTTGGGTTCTTGCGCGTCGTCGCGGGCAGGTCGCAACAATTAACACCTCATCAGAATCCAGCGTCATCGGCTTTCCTGAACTTCTGGATGGTCGACCTGTTTGTTCCATTGGTCGTTTGTGATCGGTGACACCATTCGCGGTTACAATATAAACAGTGAAAATTTTTCTGGTGTTTCAAGAGGAATGCGCAGAAAGGTGGGATAATCTGGAGTCATAAATAATGGAACACGTGTAACATAGCACTACCAACTTTGTTTTTATATCCGACAAAATTTTGTTATAGATTTTCCTTTCTTTGTGATTCCATTTGAAGCGATTCTGTTCACTGTGAGCTCCTGCCTCCGGCCAATTCCGAGGTCCACAGATTTGACGCATCGCTACCGGAATGGTACGGTCATCCTTCAACTCGATGCATATTTATAGTTCAGTCCGAGTGTTCAGCTTCTGGAACTGTTGGTATAAGCACCTAAGGAATCGACCAGTAAACACTGTATCATCAAAAATGCAGCCCTTTTTCATGAAATCTAGTCGATTAATCTCATTGATTGGCCAGAAAGATGTTCTAGGACCATGTGCTACTATGAAAGGCGTAGGCATTTTGTTTTGACCATGAGCCCGGGTCAGGTCCGGTGTGGAGTTGCGTATGACGACGGGTAGCACTGAGAACACGGCTGGTGGAGTGCAACTCGGTTTTCTAATCATCCAGTTATGTGTTGCGCATCTTGATGCCACATACATATGTCAGTTTTGTGAAAGAGTTTGAGACAAAATAATTCTCCAATCGCCCGTGGTTGTTACGGCCTCAGGAAGAGATCAAATTTGCTGATGGCTGCGTGATGACGTTATACGTGACTGTAGGTCACGTAGTGCGTTGAGTTTGCCTAGGATAGGTTAGATGATAAATGCAGTTCCGAAAAAACGTGTATGTTTTAGTGTCGTGAACGGGCACCTAATGAAAGGTAATGCATTTTCTGTGGTTATTAAAATTGATTATATTACATCACCAGTTTCATTGGATGACTAATCAATCGCACCAATGTACACGTTGTCCGGATCCATGGCTGTATGTTCATCTCAGTTGGGTTCTTACTTGCTAGTATGGACTATAGAAACTCGGGATAAGCAGGTTTCAGACGCTCACCACCAACAGTGCCTCTTCTATTATCTAGCTGGACAGTACAATGTTAAACATGGGGAATAAACCCTTGTAGGGGGATTGTAACAGTTGTAGTCATTTATCCATGTGCACCACATCTATTATGTTGCCAACCGTTCATCCATCAAATATACCCGCTTTTACAATTTTCCATCCTACGCAACAGAGCGCTTATTTTCGTTCACACACCAAAGTATGTTCTTTTATTTATATGCATACCAAACCATTTTAAAGGAAGGAATTTCATAAAATAACCTAAATAAATGTCCGTTGCATGGTAGGGACATTAAAATTTTAATTAAAGGAATTAATCTCTTATCAGCTAGCAGTTGGATTTTCACGCTACAGACTAGTGAAACGCTGCCGCTTACGCACATCAGACACCCCGAATATTCATACGTATTGTCCGTCAACGCCATGATTCGTGTTTCGGATGTGGTTCCCGAACAAAGTGAAACCAACTTGTCCTCTCACCATTGGTTGAACACATTTTTGGACGCTGTTGCAGGTTGAAGCATGCACGGTTCTTACTTGAATAAGCCTGCACCGGCCGTCTTTCTCCTGAGCACCTGTGTTTAAATCCCGTGTAACAATTCCAACTTCATGCTCTACTTGACCCCCTTGATCGAGAACTATCTTCGTCAACACATTATACTCTTTATAGTGGCAATATAATTTCCCAAATAAAGTTCGTGCTATATTCTACATGGCTGTAGTGGTTACAGCTTAAGTCGTCTAGACGCCGTACTTTGTATACTTCTCTCAGCCTATCCGAGTCATGCGCTTGAAGTAGTCTTCAAAGTGAAGCAGCTTTTCAACATCTAAAAGTTTCCTTCAGTCTAGAATCAGACTGATTTCGCGGGAAAATTTTGTTTAGAGCATCATCGCTCACTTATCTTATTATTCGCTCCGCATGAGACAAGCCATGATAGTCAGTTTATGATATTTAAAACTACGTTTCTAAGTCTATGGATCTTCATATTTTTAGCTTTAGGTCCAAATCCATTCTAAACGAATCTTTAGAATGGTTAAACTTAGCAGATACTTCAAGGTTACTTCGCTGAATCCTTCAACAGAGTTCCGTCTGACCGGTTCCTCAATGCCCTTTAAAGTTGGCTCCAGTCACATAGATTTTGTATAACATGAGTGGTCAGATATTGTCACATGCAATGGGAACATTGAACACCACTGTAACTGTTTCAGATCATTGAGAATGACTGACAGTTGCTTCAGACATATCACTTTAACTGTTTACCTAGGTTTGCATTCTGACTCTGGTATCCGGGTTCGTCTCTTTATTACGATCGTCCGCAACTCGTTGTTGTTCATGGTACGCTGTATCGTTTGCATCACTCCATAGGAGCCCTATCGGAAATGCCGCAATCGCAATGTCAAAGACATTCTTGTGTGTAACTACTGACTTCTATCTCTTCCAACTGGCGTTTTAACGCTTTTATCTAATTTTCAATCATTTGTTGCCGTTCTTCGACTCGCTTTTTTAGGGAACGCAGTTAGATCCACCGTATAAAGCATATATGCCTAACACCAACAATGATAACATTACTATAATGTCGCTTTGAGTTCAGCCAAACTTTTACATCTACTGTTAACGCCACGGCTTCAGGTCATTGGCCATAAGAGTCTCCAGCTTGTCTTGGTTCATTGGGACCCAACACTAATCAGCGAACGCAAGTAGCGTTAACAAAATGCCTCTGGTCGCCTAATCATCGTTTAGCTAGTGGTCCCTCACATCGCTTCAACGATGGCCATTCTGGGACTATATGAAATGAATGCGTAAAAACAAATGGTCTACTGGAAAAGTGTACGCTTATCGTACAAGCAAGCAATTGCGTATCATGCTTATGGTCTTTTCGGTTAGCAACCAATCTTGACACTTGCGGTAGGATATGATTGTGGCAAGATGCAGTGTCAGAAAAAGTATGCTTTCCGTATACCCTTAACCGGCCTCGATAATCACGTTTAAGAGATTACAGTATGGAAAAGTGTTTCTCCGGTACATTTCACGGACATGCTGTGACGCCAGATGTCACCATGAACAGAGTCGAAGGTAGTTTCCAGGTCAAAGGAAGTCACAATAGTCTGGCATCTGTAAATGTCTCACTTCCACTAGTTGACGAAAAGTAATTGTGTGTTCAATGTAGCTCTTAATAATTCGTTTCTCACGAGTACGAGCAATTCATCGAGAGATGAGGTCATTGATACATTTAGAGTCAATACTTTGATCCTTTTTGAAGTTGAAGATGGCAGGTAACAGTCACCCGTCTGAAGACACCTCTTGAGTTTCCCAACTGGAGCTGTACAGAGCCACCTGTCCATTCAACAAAACGTGATCTTAGGTATGAATCTTCTGTCAGTTGGTTTGCTTCGTATACGCTACATATACAACAGAACGTGCAAATTTGTGAAGTCACAGTATCGCCTACCGTACGAGAATGTCGAACCGACTCACTCCCACATTCAGGACATGTGAACGCAGTCGTCTCCTTGGGCGACACAATTTTGATCTCATAGTTCCTTTGGAAAGCTCCGCAGATGTGAATTTTGCTGCTCTCACCATGTATTTTAATCGATAGATGAGCAGATATATTTCGTTATGAGGCTTTCTTGAACTAGCAGCCTAGAGGGATCGTGTACCTGGAGAGATCACATCCGGTCAAAATGCTACTGTTTAATGCTTTTGGTCCTTCTTTGGCGCTATGGTCTCATCTTTTATTTTACATTGGCTTGCTGCAACATTGTCGTTTTTTTCCTGAATTACCCTATGCGTCAATAAGTCCGTTTGCCTATTTATTGTTCACTTCTCTCATTCTCTGTTCTGCAACCTCACTTTCGCGTCATCAGGTGCACGTGGACCTCCTCAGCCTTACCGGAGCAGTAGCTGGTGGTTGTCTGAGCCCATGGACACCTTACAGGCCTGTTGAAGCCGCTGTCGTTGGCATGTTCTTCGGACTCACTATAGCAATCATCGGTCCTCGAATTCTGGATAAATAAGTCCGAAACGTCAGCGTGAACTTGTACTTTTCATCCCGATGATCTTCACAATTTTCTAGTTTTTTCGCGCTTAATCATGTATTACACATGTTGTCAGTCGATTAGCTTTTAACCCACCCTCGAACTGCGCCATTACACTTTTTCTTTCCTTTCCTTTGTTTTTGATCTTCCAAGAAGCCAGTCCTGTGGCTTTTACGGTACACCGAAACGATAACTACCGATCATTTGACGATCAGTTGTGTGTACTAAAGAATGCGGTCTGTGCCCACACAGCAACTCTGTCAACAAATGTCAAATGACGAATCTACATTTTTATCCATTCTAACTGGTCAGGTCGCAATCAGTTCAGTTTGTGGCTGTAGTCAGTTTGTATGAACGAGCTGGCTAGGGGGGGCGGTCGAACCAGGCAACCACTCGAACGCCATTAATCGTATGTCCACACGAATTCACCGATTGGCTAATCGTGTTTGGAGTAGTATATGACATATAGCAGGCAGATCAGCGAGGCGTACGAGACAGCCAATCAGATGAGGATCAAACAACTTGACTATTGGTCACACTAATCTCCACCGCTTAGATGACGGCTACCAATTGCCTTTTTATTGGATTAAAGCGTAGACACTTGGCGGGACTGTGTCGCTGTTAATGCTTCTAGCTGGACAATATATAGGAGGGCGTTGTGCGAACAAGCGATGTGTTCTTCCGCTGCTTCTATTCCACCAGTAAACCGTTTGTCCCTTATGAACCGACTTATACGACAATAACAGCGTCTGGCTACGCTCCGAAGTGTTCACTGATTCATTCGATTAGGTGAAAACTACAAATGTTGCTTGTTATATCACTCGTCTTTGTCCATAGATGTGACCTAGTTCTATAGATGAGAGCAACGTGAACGCTGCTGTTAAGTATGGCACAGCCGATAGATGGAACAGAACTTGCAGTCGTAGTATGAAACCGCTTTATTGAAAGTTTCCTACGTTACTGTGGTTAGAAATGTCGAAATGAAAAACCAATGCACTAAGTGAAGTAATGTAAGGTCATTGTCAACCAACCATATAAGCACCTGTGTTAAAGCATCAATACTCAGCTGCATACGTGACACCCCTTTCTTTCCTGGTAAAGGCTGCAAACTTCAGGTTGATACCGATCAGTTGGCTTAGGCGTGCGTTTTGAGCGTCTTACCTGTGGTTGTTCCGCATCCGTTTATGATTCCTGGTTTTGTGAGGCAGATTCTCCGTCCGTTTTTGGTTCAGTAGCAGTCGATTTTTGATCCCGCTCATGTGGTCCATTTGAATGTGACCAGATATGGTCCAAATGGCGTCGCACCACACGGCCATCCTCCAACTGTAGCTCCGCTTGGTTACCCGTCGAGAACATAAGTGTAGCAGTTTGCCAATTTGTTTCATGAGGCAGTCTTGTGTATATCGGATCAAAATCATTGAGACACCTTTTCTCCGACATCTTGTCATCCCCATACATCTTTTCTTGCTTTGCCTCCATTCTCCTTCGAGGTTTCGAAAAAAGCAAGTGCACTCTCATTCGTAATAACCGGCTAAACATTAACTCCAGCGGTGACTTTCCTGTCGACTCAGTCGGTGTCGTGCGGTAAGAGAACAGGAGACGATCCAACTAAGTTTGTAGAGTATGCTTGAGGAGACCTTGCTTAACAGTCTGGACTGTACGTTCTACCATTTCATTCGACGCGGGATGGTACGGCGCAGACTTGATGTGCTGTATTCCATTGTTACTCATGGTGTCCCGTTGTCAGTGCATATTGTTCCTGGGATGCAGAAAATGGTGAATATGGAGCGCATTTTTGCAATTGTTGCTACGGAAGTCGCATGTGGAACTGGATGTACTTTTATCCATTTAGAAGAGGCATCAATCAAAAGTAGGTACATCATCTCAGTGATTGGGTCAAAGTAGTTCGCGTGCACCCGCTGCCAAGGCCTCTCCGACCAACGCCATGGACGTATCGGTCCGGGAGATTTTGTCTTTGTTATTCCTGACATGGTTCGTAATTTTTCAGTAGCCACTTTAGATTCTGGTCAATGTCCGGCCACCAAAAGTAACCACATGCCAGCGCCTTCATCGTATTCACGCCAGGATATGCGTCATGCAACTCTCAGCAATTGGGGCCGTAGTTCGTCTAGTGGAACTATGCGCGAGCCCCGAAATATACATCCGTCGTAAATACTCAACTCATTACTCTGACATGCGAATGGTTTCAGTTCTTCTGACGTGCTTGTAGGCCATCCGGTCATTAAGAACGTTTCACCATGGACAACACAGGGTCTTCATTCGTCAGGCGCCGCATCACGTCACTCCAGATGGATATCTTTTCAAAGTTTTGCATCAGATTGATAAAGTCCATGGGTTCACTGTTCGTTTTTGTGCCATGTTGCTGCGGGAGGCGACTATGTTCACCGGCAATGGTATTCTTGGTCCGTTTACATACTGCAGTTCGTAGTTATTGGCGCTCAAAAATAGTGCCCATTTTTGCATTCGAGGCGAGGACATCAGTTTGATTCCTTTCTCCTCACCCAGAAGCGAAAGAATGGTTTATGGTCAGTGAGCATATCGAACTGTCTTCTCCAAACGTACTGGTGAAAATGCTTTAACCCGAAAATAATCGCTAAGTCATCTCAGTTCAGTTGGGAGTAATTCCTTTCAACAGGTTGCAGGATGCGAGAAGCAAAAGCGATTGGACGAAGAGAACCTTCATCCGTCCTAGTATCAAAGGACTGCGCCTATTCCGCGTGTGGAAGCATCACATTACAGCACTAGAGGCCACCTCAGATGGAATTGCACGAGATACAGAGGGGCGCTGAGCAATTTTTACATCTGTAAAGGCCTTTATTTGATCCGGATCTCCCCGTGTGCAGCAGTTCGTACTAGGTTGCAGACACTGTTAAGGCGTTAGGTAAGAATTGACAATAGTAAGTAGACACCCCCTAAAATGATCAAAGTTCAGCTTCATTCTTGGATTCAGGTGCGACAAGGATGGGCTTTACTTTGTCTTCTAACACGTGTAATCCGTTTTTATCGAAACGGTAACCCAAATAACGAACAGAATCTGTAAGAGACTTACTCTTTGACTTTTTCAGTTTGTGTTCACTCAGTTGTAGACGTTCGGGCACAGTGGATGGCGTTTGTAAATGTTCAGCATCTGTACGTTCTTTAACTAGAATGTCGTCAAGTGTAAGGAATATCTTTGATCAAGTTGTTAATGATCTTTTGGAATATCGCTGGGGCCGAACTGATTCCGAAGAACAGACTTTTCTACTGAACTAGGCCCATGTGGGTACTCATTGTAGTCCATGATCGATAGGTCTCGTCTAACTCAAGTTGTAAGTATGTGTGACTGATTTCGATCTGTGTGAACTTTTGTCCGCCTGCCAGCGTAGCATACAGATCGTCTATCCGAGGTAAGGGATACCTGTCCAGAATTAAACAACGATTAACTGTTAGTTTATAGTCAGTACAAATACGTATAGAACCATCCGGCTTCAGGACTGAAAATTTCGGAACTCCTCACCCACTGTATTGGACTGGCTCGATTGTTTCTGCTGATTGCAACCTCTTTCTTTCGTCTTCAATCTTTGTTCTCAGCGAATAAGGTAGGGTACGTGCCCTGAAGAAGCGGGGCTGAGTTCCCGGCCGTAATTTGATACTTGCCTGATATCTGTTCGATTCTCCCAGTTTATCATCAAAAACCTCAGAATATGTGTTGAGCACATCCTCCAAGCGCTTGTTAATGGACATGAACTTCACTGTCTCTAGCGTAATCGGGAGGCATTTAATCCACTCGCGTCCGAGTAAGTTTGGACAATCATTCGCCACAACATATGTCTGTAAGGTCTGCTTTTCATGAAAATCAAGATGAACAGTGCATTTCCCAGGACTGGTATCGGCTGCCCAGTGTACATCCGCAAAGTTGATTCACAGGGGGATAACTTGGGTGATCTTCTAACTTATGCGCCACTGATTATGGTGACTGCGGCAACGGTATCAACTTCCATTTTAACCAACTGACCTATTTCTAATTGCACAGTGTATGGTGGGTGAGTGCTACAGATGCCTGATGTCGCGTTCCAATTGTCTGTAGCTGGTCATCTTCGTCTGAAAACTGGACAATCTTCACGGGCTTCTTGGAAAAACGTGATGTCGCAGCTCTGCGAGCTTTAGATCGGCAAACTCGAGCCAAGTGCCCTAATATTCCACAATGGCGACAGATACTCTGTTCATGACGACATTCCTCAGCCGATAAATGCTGGTTTCCACATTGGTGACAGGTAAAAGGCAATTCGGGCCGCTTCGTGATGATACTTCGATCGATTGCTTGAACTGTATCTGTATGACGTTACGGGGCAAAAGCTGATAACTCTTTATGGACATTCTCCAGCTGCCGAACAATATTGCATGCCTTCTCCCAGCTCATGGTAGTCTCATCTTTCTACAATAGCCTTTCACGAGCCTGTTCATTACGCATACCGGATATCAAACACTATGTAGCCATCGCCTCTTCGTGGCTGCGATTTCACCATACCGACACTCTTGTTAGACTTGCTGAATCCGCTCACTGAAATCAATGAGACTTTCTTCAGGGTTTTGACGCAAGGTCGAAAAATGATATCATGCAGTGTGTGTTCAGTCGGGAACCCGATGAGTACTTCTAGCACGCTGTTGACAGTCGCATTCTCACAGACATGGAGAGCATCAGAATGTATTTGGCCTTCATCTCCCAGATATTGTCTCAGTAATTTGATTTTGTGGCTCTTTGATAGTACGGTATTTGCTCACAAGACAGGTAGTAGCGCCAAATAATCTAAAACAATGCGCTTGCAGCGGTTCCAGATGGCCGGTGTTGGTTTCTGAGAAGGAATATTCCACAGTAGTGTAGGCATCACCATCAACAGCAGTACATCAGCCATTTGAACTAATGCTTCGCTGCCATACAACCATGAGGACTTATGAAATAAAGAATAAGAAGAGGGTGAGAGGGGGGACTTACCTGAAAACCTTAAGGCCCTAAGCAAACATTCTGGGTCAAGGCGCTTACACCTTGTGTAGACAACATACCGTCACAAACAGCTGACTATCGTGCAAAGATAAGGCGGCATCGGCGAGACAGCTTCCTTGCGGGTTTCACTGCCCCGCGTCATAATCAGCCATTACCCCGCAGATAACTCAGCACCAAACACACTTTATACAGGCAATCCGATTAGCAGACGGCAGCAGACGCGCCACTGGTGTCGTTTGCGAGCCATGTCCTGTAAAGTCTCGAGCCAAACATAAGGCTTGTCACGTGGACT